GTCTCCAAGGCTGTAAACCTTTACGTCTGCTGACACCGAGTGAAGTGGCTGACCACCAGCTGCTGCAGCCAAACACAGGCCGGTGGGAATCAGTGTGCATTGTATATTCGCTGATCTGGAAGGTCAGCGGGATCATTCCCCCGAGACGACCTCGTACTGGAGGGGTTTGAATACCCCTTTGGGTGTCAGACCTTTGATCTCACAGAGCCATCAGAGGTACTTCCTTCGGACAAGCTTTTAATGTTCTTAGAAGAACCACCTGTGTGCGGGCACCTCCTTTGAAGCACGTGCTCGTGTCCTTGGGGCTCCTCTCCTGTCCACGCCCCCCTCCTGAGTTAGCGTGAGCAGTGCACGGACGCAGTACGACGTCACGCAGCCCACGTGCTCGGGGAGTGCGTTCACGTGGGAAGTCAGTCAGGGCAGTGATGATGAAGGGCTTTAGACTCAGTGTCTCTTAATCTTCCATAATGCCGGATCAGAGCAGACTTCATGGAGAACCTTTGTCCCAGGAGCTCCTCCACTGCAGAGAACCAAACCTAAAATGGGACACAATGAAGCAAGAGATCCCTTCTCACGGCCGTGCTTTGTGCCACACACCTTTATAGCCATGTTTTTAAAAAACAAACATTTTTGAAGAATACTTACTAATATGGAAAAAGACATTAGGCTTAGAAACAATAAAATTTTCAATTTGGTTTGAAAAGCTTTTATATTAGACCTTCAAAAAGTTTGCAGGAAAATTCCATTGTTTTTAATTGTATTTTTCCATGAATTTATTTTATTCTATTTTTTTAGCAGCAGCACCGGGCATTTATTCCTCTGGATACGCAGGCGGGGCTCGCTGGCGCGGTGGAGCGGTCCCGCAGCACCGCGGTGACCAGTCCCCTCGCAGGAACGGCTTGGAGATGTAGTGGGCCTTGTGGACGGGCTTGGGCCTCGTCTTGCTTTGGCCGCTCTCGGGACCTCGGCCCACATCTCCTTCACGTTGCCCAGCGCCATGCTGCAGTGCCTGGCGAAGGCCCTTCTGCGGTCCAGAAGCTCCTTGTTGCGGCCGTTGACGCGCACCTGGGTGTTGTTCTTGACGGACTGCGCGAGCACGGACAGGGCCCGTGTTGGGCTGCTCCTCTTGCTCGTGGGCTTGTTGAGACGGCTCATGGCGCTGGCTGCGTTCTCAGAGCATGCCCGTTGCCTCCGTGCTGCTTCTGCCTCCCCGTGAAGCTTTGAAGCCGCTTGTATGGAAGGTGCCCGGGTGGGGTCATGGCTGTTAACTGCCAGGTCAGCAGTTCAAAGCTACCAGCCTCTCTTAAGGGGGAGAGATACGGCTTTCTGCTTCCACAAAGATTTACATCCTTGGAAATCCATAGGGGCAATTCTCCTTTGTCCTATAGGGTTGGAATTGACTTGATGGCAGTGATGGTTATTTCACTTTTTTTATGTACACACACACTGAACAAAGGTCCTTCAGAGTTCATGGAAAAGTGTCATTACCTACCATTTAGTTTTTCTTTCTCATTTGTTTTTGCATTAACAAACAGAGGTTTATTCTCACAAGTCAGGAGACCAGAAGTGGACATTCAGGGCACCAGCTCTAGGGGAAGGCTTCCTTGTTCTCGGTTGGCTCGGGGGCTCCTGCACCTTCCTGGGTGATGGTGGGTATGGCCTCTGCTTTCTCCCTGCTTGCCAGCCCCTTCCACATACAGCACACTCACATAAATAAAATGCACATGCACACTTGAATTGCGCTGGGTGTGCTGAGGTTCATAAAAACCATATAACAAGTATCATTTGTGTAAAATATGGTACTTAATTTGTTTAATGCCTCTTTATTTTAACTTTTTCTTGTGAATTAGGTGAAGGGCTATAGAGCAGGTCTGTTCTCCATTCAACAATTTGTGCACATTTGTTCATGTCACCACTTAATTATCCCACAATATAATGCCATTTATCCCACTTCCTGCCTGCGTCTCCTGTTCCCATTCCTCCTTCCCCGTTCCTTTAGCACTTTGTCCTCGGACATATGCTGCCCTTTTGATATCAGCAGGTTAACTGTTCTAAAGTGTGCATACCTCATTATTGCTCTCCTGAGAGGTCTGCCTGCAAATTCAGCCACTTCCAGACCTGAAGCATGACGCGACGAAGGGCCCTAATGACAGCGTTTCGCTGGTCCGTCTAAGCAGAAAGGTTTGCAAGCCCAGTGGTTAAAGCGTGTGGTGCCAACCAGGACGTTGGCAGTCAGCCTTTCCTCAGGAGAAGGACGTGGCCATGGACAGGCATAGAAGCTGCATAGGGCAGGTCTGTTCTGTTAGGATCACTGAGTTGGAAGTGACCCGACAGTACTGGGTTGGATTTTGTTTAGGGTATTGTACTTGCTATCTAGAAAGTTTGTGGTATAGCTGCGTAGACTTTGAGTCAGAGACAGCATCCAAACCCATACGCCCTGCATATCTTGAGTATTGTAGTGTCCTCTCTCTGTTTAACTTTCTTTCCAAAAGATCACCTGGAAGTGCAACCAAACCAGTGCTAGGGAGAATAGCAGCCAGAGACAAAGGAGAAGGATGGATTTGGAGGCGAAACAAAAGGTTGTGGAGCGACACACAGGCCGATACGGGTTGCAATGGACAGTTGCCATGACCCTCAGAAACAAAGAACACCCCGGGCTCCATAGAGAGCCCCCAAGCTCACAAAAATGAGAGAGGAACCTCTGAGCTCTAAAGCGGCTACTGATGACTAGGATGGAGGGTCAAAAGCAGATCCTTCCCAGCCTGTTTGATGATTACTGCGAAGGCACCAAGCTGAAAGGAAAAGCAGGACCAGACTGTGAGACAGTGTTCACACAACATCCAGCTTGGCAGAAGGTGTCATGGCTGTTAAGCGATGCATGCCTGTCCATGTGTATGTGAGTGCATTATATATCAATATATAGAAATAAATGTTTTATAAGACTGGAGAGAAATACAATGGTGATTCTTTGTGAGCAATCTGCTTGTGAGAAATTGTGACTTTTAAAAAAATGCTTAGAACTTTAACATTTGTTGGGATACTTCCTTTTGTCAAGTGTCACATTACATATGTTCTTTCCATGTGTCTTCCCATTTAACTCTCCCATCTGCCCCGTGATAATCGGTGCCATTTTTTTTCAAATGAAGAACCAGAAGCCTAGACAGATGAAGTAACTTGTGTAGCTATGTAATCAGTACGTGCGGTATCATGACTTCTGTATCAGACCCTTCTACACTCTAAATTTGTACATGTTATCTACGTGCTCAAAAACAAAATTATAAAGATTATACAAACCTTTTGGGATCTACAACCAGCTAGACTTAGATAATCTGGAAGGACTTAATCATTGAACTGTTGATAACCTATCCCCACAAACAGAAGCATGAGACTTGGGTGAAATTAGACCAAGAATGTTGAAAGTTAAAATATGCTCGGTGAGTTTATATTCTTAAACAAGGAATATTTTTGGTTTTTTGGCCATGGAGATTAATGAAGAAAATGTCCACACAGTCATTTCTATTAAAGAACTAGACCTTTTCTGGTGCATGAATAATCTACTTATGTGCCCCTTACACACACGTCTATGAAATAGTGAGCAAAGATGTGTGAAGAATCGGGTCAAGAGCAAGGACTGATGAAAGATGAGGATGCTATGGTGCCCATTGCTCCCACATAGCTACGTAGGTGAGTGGAGGAACTCAAGAGGAATCAAATTGTCTTTTTGATACACGGAGAAAAATGGGAACATTTTTCTGAAGAAAACAACTCTTAACTTTTTCTTCACATTTTCTCTCTTTTTAAAACCCAGTGAAAATAGCTCTAAATATTTTGCGACTGCTTGACCCACTGAGCTAAGTAATGTTGCTTTCAGCCATAAAAATTATAAACACATGTAGCGTAATGAAATTCTCTTTCCGGCCCCGTTTAATAGCATCTTTAGTCCTGAGTAGGGTGCCCAGCGTCCCTGGGGCTTGCACAGAAAGTCCTGAGCACACCGGGATACTTGGTCACATGGACACGGTGTGAAGACTTCAGTCTAGGCATGGGAGTGGTAGCATGGAAGAAGGCAGGAAACCAATGGAAATGACATTTTCCCTTTTTGAGGGATGTTTAGGAACCCTGGTGGCGTAGTGGTTAAATGTCGGCTGCTAACTGCACTGTCAACCGTTGGAAACCACCAGCCAGCTCCTCGGAGAAAGATGAGGCTCTCTACTACAGTGAGGAGTCCCTGTCTCAGAAGCCCACCCTGTCCTGTAGGGTCCCTGTGAGTGAGAATCGACTCGGCAGTGAGTGTGGTTATTTTTGTTCCGAAGGATGTGAAAGTCAGTAAGCTAGTATCGATGTGTTTGGTAGTGTGTTAGCAATTGCTGTATTAGAGGTGAATACTAAAGGGCCCCGGGCCTGTGTTGGGCCTGCCTTTCGCTGTATCCATTGTGAAAGACAGTACCCAAACTAAGAGGCCTACACGAGTGCCGTAATGATTTTGAGCTCTTGTGAACATGGAAGCTGGGGTACTGGCAGTGCCGTGGGGTTGGTGTGGGACTGCTAACCATAAGGTCTACAGTTCAAATCCTCCAGCCACTCCTATGCTGTCTCCCTCTGTAAAGATGTATAGTCTTAGAATGGGGCTGTCTTGCCCCCGTGGAGGCTTATAGGATCACTGAGTTGGGGTCCACGTGATGGCAGTGGGCTTGGGTTTTGAGCATGAGCACATCTTGCTCTCATTGGAGGCTTTTGCTTTTAAGGTGAACTCCTCTTGTTCGATGTTAGCTGTAGTCTAGCAAGTCAAGGTGTGAACATCTGTATTTTCAACCAGAGGACACTTGCGTACATACTTGCAGACCACTTTCCATATCACTCGTTGAAACCTCTAGTTAATTCTTAGGAGGCAGCAGACTTCTTGCCTGGTGCCGGTTGAGATGGATGGTGATGCCTTTGCTTGGGTGTTCCTCAGCAAGCTGCTCTTCCTCCTTCCTCATTCTTGGCCCCTCACCCCACAGGGAGGTGTGGGAAATGGAACTGGACAGACTCAAGAACCAGGATGGTGAAATAAATCGGAATATTATGGAAGAGACAGAGCGAGCGTGGAAGGCAGAGGTGAGAACAGAGCTGATACTTTGGAAAACCCTGATTTTGGACTTTCAGCTGGCTGACATGTTGACAGAGAATATCAGGAGCCACTAAGCATGTAACGTATAGAAATGTGTTTATGTATGTGTATGTTTGTGATTTCCTTAGATCTTATCACTAGAGAGCCGGAAAGAGCTGCTGGTATTGAAACTAGAAGAAGCCGAAAAAGAGGCAGAGCTGCACCTCACTTACCTCAAGTAAGGACATCCATTCTAGGGTTTCCTTGGCCCACAGGTAGTTTGCTTTGCTTTAGCTTGCCCTCTGCCCTCTGCCCGCCGGCCCGCACTTGCTCGGCCTGCCTGCAGCCCACTCTGCTGGTTCAGCTGTCTCAGCGGCTGCTTTCCCACGGCCTAAGGCTTCCTCTGTCCAGTCTCCTGGTGCAGACTCCCAGCTGGTTGCTTCCACTTGGATAGATAGTGCCTGTGACTGTCCAGGCGTAACGGAGGCCGTGGGGTGAGCGTCTCAGACACAGACACGCCCTGCCTCACCACACTTTCCAGTTAAAGCAGACGGTCGGTTTTCTGTTTGTCGGCTCGGGGTACATGTTCTCATCGGTAGCGCACACTACATGTGTTGCAGTGTGAGATTTTCCTGATGTTATTGTTTTCATGCCAACGCTACACACATGCATAAAGATTGGCGATATAAAGATGTTGATCATAAATGGCAATAATAAGAACTTTTAAAAAATGAGGTATTTAGCTTATATCAGGACTTAACCTGCGGTGGAGTCATTAGAATGGAACCCCGTCTAAATCGGGACTACCTGTCGTCCTTCCTTGCCTTGGAATATGAAGGCATTTTCAGACAGATGAGTCCCCTTTATGGGTTTCTCTGCCTTGAGTCCTTGGCTGAAAACGTGGATGATGTAGTGCAAGTGAGGGGCAGGACATCTGCGCAGCCTTCTCCTCGCTGGTTCCTTTGGCCGCTTGCTGGTGGGCTCATCCTGAGAATTAGGGACAGAACTTTCAGTAATCCTGTCATTTCCTGTCGGTTTCTTGGAAGGTCAACTCCCCCGACACTGGAGACAATTCGTTCCAAGCAGGAGTGGGAGACAAGACTGAATGGAGTTCGGATAATAAAAAAGAATGTTCGGGTATGTGTAGCGATGGGCCCCGGCATTCTGTGCATGGACACTTCTGGCGCCGGGGAGGTGCCCTGCAGTGCCATGCCTCCATGGCCATCTGGCCATTCTTCTGGTTTCCCTGATAATGGACGGTAGAGAGGCTGTCTCAGCTCAGCAATAAAAGAGACTCCTTCCTTTTTTCCCCCCCGCTTTCCCAGGACCAATTCAATAGTCATATCCAGTTAGTGAGGAATGGAGCCAAGCTGAGCAGCCTCCCTCAGATCCCTACTCCCACCTTGCCTCCACCCCCATCCGAGGTAAGCGAGCCAGCCCGCCTCGGCGGGGAGGCTGCCTGCTGCGTTGGCGATGGATGCATAGTCTTTCCCATGTTCTTATGAAGATGCGGGCTCATCTTTGTGTAGGGCTTGTTGATTTCTACTTCAGTTCCCTAAACTCTCTTTTTCTTCCTCTCTTATCTTCTACGTCTTCTCCTCTGCAGACAGACTTCCTGCTTCAGATGTTTCACCCCAGTCCCACTCTGCCTCCTCGGGTGCCCTTCTCCATTGGGCAGGTCACCATGCCCATGGTTATGCCCAGTGCAGATCCCCGTGCCTTGTCTTTCCCAATCCTCAACCCTTCCCTCTCCCAGGCCAGCCAGCCTACCCCACCCCTTACGGGCTCCCACGGGAGAAATAGCCCTGGCCTAGGATCTCTGATTGGCCCCCACGGGCCACACATGGCCCCTGCTGCCTCCATCCCACCTCCCCCAGGCTTGGGTGGAGTTCAGGCTTCTCCCGAAACTCCCAGGCCCCAGCCAATAGACAAACTGGAGAAGATTCTGGACAAGCTGCTGACTCGGTTCCCGCAGTGCAATAAGTAAGTAGCCTTCTAAGGAAGCATTAAAAAAAGTCTATGGGTAAAAGTAGGGGTGGTTCCTTGAGTGTGCCCCATGACTCGAGCATAAAATCTCCCTCTCCCTCAATGGTTTTTGTCCTCAGGCCCCAAATGACCACCATTCTCCAGCAAATCAAGACGGCTCGTACCACCATGGCAGGCCTGACCATGGAGGAGCTGATCCAGTTGGTCGCTGCACGGCTGGCAGAACACGAGCGGGTGGCAGCAAGCACTCAGGCAAGGACAGCCCCCCAGGGGAGGACTCGGCCTCGCCAGGATGCTGGGGGCGAGGCAGCTTTCAAGGACACGAGGGCTGGGAAGAAGCATTGAGGCAGGAGTGCCGGTTTGGCTTGCTGCACTGCCCTGGGAAACAGACGGCGTCTTTTTGTCAGGTGCTCGCTGTGCACACCTCTGACTCTCACACCCTTTCTGCCCACAGCCACTTGGTCGGATTCGAACCTTGTACCCTGCTTCCCTGGCCCAAATCAATACCCCAATGTTTTTGCCTTCGGCCCAAGTTTCATATGCTGGAAGGTCTGCACATGTAAGACTCTCTTTCTTTGCAAACTGGGATATGGAGCAGCTGGGGGGAAGGGCGGAAGGTCCTGAAGGGGAAGTCAGGGAAGAGACTGCCATCTCATCAGCTGAGCTCTTTGTAACCGCGGGGACCTGGGGAATACCAGCGACTTGGTGAGATAATCGAGATGAACTTTTGTGTCCTGTGGTGCAAAGGACTTGATTTTGGTTTTGAAACCACTGAAGTGTACGCCCTAGTTATGCTGTGTTGGCATCTTCCTCCCCTAAGCAGGTCCTCAGTTGTGCAGCAGTCGCTCCCCCTCCCCCCCTTTGCACAGCCCTGGAACTTTAGCGCAGGGCCTTTGCCTGTCATGGAGACCGCGTGTCAGTGGGCTTGACGATGTGTGCCCTCGGGGTCTTCCTGCACTCCGCTTAATATTTCCAAGGCTCACCCACGTTGAACCATCTCTCAGAAATGAGTTTCTCTTTTGAGCTAAGTCATAGTCCATTGTGTGCACACCACATCTTGTGTATCCATTCACCTGTCCGTAGGCATGTGGATTGTTGACTTCTTTTGGCTATTGTGGCTAATCCTGTGCTGAACAGTGATGTATACATACATCTCTTGGGTACATCCCTCAAGGGTGGAATTGCTGGTCCCTCTGGCAATTCTGTTGAACTCTGAGGAACCACCAAGTGGCTTTCTACAGCCATCGCAGCATCCGCCATTTCCACCAGCCACGCACAAGGCCTCCCGCTCTGTCACATCCTCCCCAACACTCGTTAGCTCCTTTCATCTCACAGTAGCCATCCAAATGCGTGTGAGCGGCCAGCTTGGCGTGGTTTTCATGGTCCACGATCTCTGCTGCCTGGACAGATACCGGGATCGCCAGCTTGGCGTGGTTTTCATGGTCACGATCTCTGCTGCCTGGACAGATACTGGGATCATGGGCTCAATGGAAAGCAGGGAGACTCCAAGGTTACCACCCTGTTGACCACGCCTCCTCTGCTCTGCAGACTCCAGCCACCTGTAAATTGTGCCTCATGTGCCAGCAACTTGTCCCACCCAGTGAGCTGCATCCAATGGCGTGTACCCACGTGTTGCACAAGGAGGTGGGTGCTGTACTCCCTTCCTCGTTTTCCATCAGCAATCGACTGGGTTGCTGATCCTCGTGAGTCTCTAGACAGATGATGGGTGTAATGTGACCGAAACACCAGCAAACCCAGAATACTGGCAGCTAGGGCCTCCCGGCTCCCATGCACACCCTTTCCTTCAGGGGACTAGAGACTAGACGATGAGAGCTCTCTTTCTTGGAAAACTGACAGTAAGTGGTAATCCCATTGGTCCAACCCTTGTTGCAAGGGGAGCCCTGTCGGAGGCTTTGCTTAGAGGAGCGGAGCGGAGCGGAGTGGAGTGCAAGGACCCGAGTGAGGGACTTCGGGAGCAGAGCGCTGGGGAGCCTGCCTCTAGGGATGACCTCCAGAACCTGACCGGTGTGCCCAGTCTCGTCTTCTGTCACCAGGCGGAATTCGGTCTCTGCAGCAGAGGCCTCCCTTCCTCATGCTTGTGTTTTTCCTCTTTTTGTTCTTCCAAGAGGCAGAAATGGACTTTAAACCTTAGTGCTTCTTAAGCAAAAACCCTGAGTGAGATCTTGAGGGGTATTAGGCATATGGGATTAGGAGATGGAAGCCCTTTCAGCCCGAATGGGTGCAAACCACATAGATATATGTGTATGTATATGTGTTTAAAGCAGCTTTGCACGATTGCTGGCGGCTAGCTAGGGTACGAAGGAGAGGCAGGACTGTTTGAAAGGACCGTTCTTCTGCCCGCCATGAGAGCTTGGCCAGCTTGGCGTGCCTTTGGTGGACTTTGCTGAGCCTGCCCTGCCCTCTGCTCTCCGTCCCTGCAGTTTCCCGGGTAACCTGAGGTGTCTTTCCTGTTTTCTTTGCAGTGTATCAAATTCTGGGCCCAGACCAACACAAACGACACGTGTCCGTTTTGTCCAACCCTGAAATGATGGACCAGACTGGGGAGGAGGAAGAGGAGAAGCTGACGTGAACAGGAAGGAGCGGGTTCAGGACATCTAAAGCTCTCTATGTACTCATGCCATGTACATTTTTATTATATAGGCAATGTGTATATAGAGCCTGTCCGTAAATGAGAGTATGTATATAACGCAGAAACAGTCTGGTCCCCACCCCCACCCCCACCCCCCTCGCGTCTTGCAGTTCCTGTTGGGGCTGAAGATTGTAGGGAAGATGCTGTGTAGTTTGGTGTTAACATGATGACCCCCTGCCTAGGGCTGTTTTTGACTACATTATAAAACCCATCTAGGAAGCTGCTGTCGCTCCACGGCCACCCTGCTTTGATTTGGCTCAGCCTCTAGTCCATTTCTTAAGGCCCTTGTGTGCAGGTTTGGACCCTCTGTCCGGCCACATGCCTTGCTCACCGAAAGTCTCAGGACGCGCCAGCATTGTACCCGTCACTCTGCTCCACATGGATAAAATGAGACTGATGGAGGAAAAACCCAAGTTCACCCTATTGGTTTGACTTTTCATTGAATAGTTTACTGTGTTACCGCTCATTATTTGTACACAGACATTAGGTTGACAGAATACTGTTTTACATCAGCAACATTCACAGTCCAAGAATAACCACAGAACCAGGTCCCACCCTGCTCATCTTCTGTCCACCCCGCTCCCTGGACACAGTCATGATACGAAAGGGGCACAGCCCACAGGTCTCTTCTGGGCCAGGCCTTCCCTGGGTGCCACTGACTTGGTTTCTACTCAAGCTCCGACAGACCAACCTTGTGACGTCCTCCCCTTCAGGTCTCCTCCTCTAGCATGCCCCCTCCGCCCCCC